GCTGGTCTGTTCCCAGAGAGGAGACTGGGCTTGAGGCAGAACCTTCAGGGCCAGCTCACTCTTCGCTTACTCCAAGCCAAGAAATCAGACTTAGGAGAATCCTGTCTGTGAGGAAACCCTAGCTCCAGAATGTTTCTCCCCTGAGGATGAGGTAGTCATTCCCAAATCTGCAACAGAGTCTTATGGACTGAGGTACCCTGATACAAAGCTCCAAGAATATTCACAAAAACTGGAGGGAGGCATGTGGAAGGTTCTCTGGAAGTTCCATGGCAGCAGAACCACCAAGCATATTCTTAGGATCATATGACATTCGACCTAAGAGACTCTAGGAGTTGACTCGAAAAAGATAATCTACATATTTTGAGCAAGCAATAAAAAAAAAATCAGAATTCAAATAAAAATCCATATTTCAGAGCTCTTTTTAGAAATCAAACAACTGGAAGGACAAAGTTTGCATTCCTATGGTAGCTGAATTGAGTTGCTGTATTTGAGAAGAAGTCCTCACCTCTGGAGGTGCCCGTGTGGGATCTCTGCAGTCCCCACCACCCCTTATTGCCTTCTGGACACGAGGATTTTCCTTACACTCACTGCGCTTCCTTCCTTTACATTTGCTGCCTGCCTCTGGGATCCCTGCTGTAGACCAACGTTTCCTTTACCGAGGAGGAAACAGAGGCCCGTGGAGGGGATCCATCTTGCCCAAGATGAGGTAAATTAGGACTTGAACCCAGGACTTTTCCTACCCAACCCAACTTCTTTTCTCCACACCCAGAAGAGAAACCTTTGTAAAACCACACTCTCCTTACCCCAGTCTAACGAGCTGTCCATGATTATCTTTGGAATGCTACAAGGACTCCGGGCAGTAACACCCAGAAAGGGAATGTGAAGGTGATGGTGATAAGATTTTTTTTTTTTTAACAGTAAGAGAAAACCCAGAGATTCAGGGAGCAAAAAATGTGGAGAGAAAGAGGAAGGAAATTCAAGCTGCCCAGAGTTGGAGCTGTCAAAAGCACCAAAATCCCCCCAGACCTGGGAACCTAATTATTTCAGAAAGCCTTGCTTAGTTCGGAGCCTGGGGACTGTCAACATTGAGAAACTTTAGAAATTGCAAATATTTTTTGTAGATGAAAGATAAAAACACACTTGGATGGGGAAAGGGGAAGTTCTATTTTTGAAGTGGACACTGCAGGAATAAACAGTCATAAAAATAAGACAGTGATATAGGCACCCCGCTTCAAAGCTGAAAAAGCAACTTTATTTGCATTATCTTCCGTGTTATGAAAAGCTTCTAATTGTTTTATGGCCAGAGGGGTCTGTTCTCCTCTTTATTCCCCTGATGGCATCCTGTGATCTCAGATAGAGATGCTTAAACTCCTGGAAGCTGCTACGAAGTCTCGGACCGAATATCCATGAGAACAGATGACTTTGCTTGAAAAGTGGTTTTATTTCGCATAAGGGTGTTTTTGTTTTGTTTTGTTTTGTTGTTTGTTTGTTTGTAGAAGTGTTTGTAGAAATTAGCTCCTCCAGGACAGGAATCATCCACCTCTGTTAGCTCAGGACTTTATTGAGCTCTGAAGGGCGTGCAAGGCAGGTGGTGGCCCCCTGGAGGACAGTGGAGACTCTGAGCTTTGTGGTTCCTGCACTTCCAGAGCTGACTCGGGCCTACTGTACGCTGTGACTCACTAAGGCTGGATACACTAGGACATTTCAACAATTCCTAGTTGCTTTTTGCTTCTCCCAATATTACTTTTTAGTTGACCTGTAACATGGCCCGGGCAGTGGGCCTCGCATACATAGCCCTCCGAAAATGCCACGCTGTGTGCAAAAGTCTTACGATTAGCAAGACTTGAATTTTTTATTTTATTTTTTAAATTTAATTTAATTTGATTATGTTATGTTAGTCACCATACAATACATCATTAGTTTTTGATGCAGTGATCCACGATTCATTGTTCTCGTATAACACCCAGTGCTCCATGCTTCATTTTTCCCTCCCTCCTCCTAATGTCCTCCATGCTCTTCCTTATGTTCCACAAATAAGTGAAACCATATGATAATTGACTTTCTCTGCTTCACTTATTTCACTTAGCCTAATCTCCTCCATGGGTGGGTCCATGTTGATCTGAAAGTTGGGTATTCATCCTTTCTGATGGCTGAGTCATATGCCATTGTATATATGGACCACATCTTCTTTATCCATTCATCTGTTGAAGGGCATCTCGGCTCTTTCCACAGTTTGGCTACTGCAGACATTGCTGCTATGAACATTGGGGGTGCATATGGCCCTTCTACATAGCGTGCAGAGACTATCTTAAAACTTTCCCTGTTCCTGTAACCTGTTTTTACACAAAGTCAGCCTTGGGTGGGTTCCCAGGTGACTCTCTTTTGTGGTTCCTCCCTTGCTTTCTTGTGTAGGACGGGATGTCCAGGGAGATGCTGAGAAGTGGTCATAGTTGTTGTCATGTCCCTGATCTTTAAGGGACTGCTCTGGGCCCACCTAGTTTTGTGGACTCACCATTTACTATTATGTGTGGGGTAGGTTTTAAAAACAGTATTTTCTTTTTTTCTTAGTTTACTATTTCTTATCATGATCGATGTTGAATTTTATTGAATGCTTTTCTGCATCTATTAAGACAATCAGGAGATATTTTTCTTTTGCTATGTTATGTAGTCAAATCATCCTGTTGTCTTTTTTATTATATATAAGTGGATTCAGTTTGATGGTATTTATGATTTTGTGTCACCTTCATGTGAGTAGAATTATCTCGTAGTTTTCCTTTTCCAAACTGACCTTGGTTGTTGGTACAGGTTATGCCAGCCTCATAAAGTGGAAAGAGTCATGCATTTTCCTTTTTTTTTTTTTTAAAGATTTATTTATTTTAGAGAGAGAGCATGAGCAGGAGGGGAAAGGGAGAGGGGGAGAGAGAGAATCTCAAGCAGACCCCATGCTGAGCACAAAGCCTGACGTGGGGCTTGATCCCACGACCCTGAGATCATACCTTGAGCTGAAAACCAAGAGTCAGATGCTTAACTGACTGTGCCACCCAGGGGCCCCAGGTAATGCAGATTCCTGTTTTGTGGAAGAATTTATCCAAGACTGGAATGATATATTTTGTGGGAACTTTTTTTTTTTTAAAGATTTTATTTATTTATTTGAGACAGAGAGAGAGCACAAGTAGGCAGAGTGGCAGGCAGAGGGAGAGGGAGAAGCCGACTCCCTGCTGAGCGGAAAGCCCAACGCAAGGCTCGATCCCAGGTATCCTGGGATCATGACCTGAGCTGAAGGCAGATGCTTAACTGACTGAGCCACCCAGGCGCCCCCTCTGTTTCTTTACTCTGGAAAGGCAGGGGAGTGGAGCTGGGGAGAGAGAAGGAATAGGAGGAGAGGCAGATGTAAAACAAATCCTCCCTCACAGCCAGTCTCCAGAGCTCTGAGACTTTCTGACTGTTACTCCAAAAATAGCGGAGAGACCCATTCTAGACCAGCTTCACAGGGCAGACTTCTCCCTGAAGATGAAGCAAAAATGATCAAAGTCTGTCCATTTTTTTTCAATTAAACTTTTATTTTTTTAAAGATTTTATTTATTGTCAGAGAGAGAGGGAGAGAGCGCACCCAAGCAGGGGGAGCTGCAGGCAGAGGAGGGAGAAACAGGCTCCCCGCTGAGCAAGGAGCCCGGTGCGGGGCTCGATCCCAGGACCCTGGGATCATGACCTGAGCCGAAGACAGATGCTTAACAACTGAGCCACCCAGGTGCCCCTTAAACTTTTAGATAATAAATAATTAGTTTATGCATACACAAACAGAATTTTTCATATACGTGAACATATCCTGTAGTCTTTTTTTGTTCTTGTCATTTTCCTTGTTCTTGATTTTCATCTCCTAAGCTCCTCCTATTCATCACCCATGGACCTCAGCCTCCACCAAATAAAACATGTTACAGCCCAGGATGAATTCTTCTAGATTTTTCTCCATGCACATGTAATCATACAAATGACGATTTGCCATTATTTATTCTATAAGAATGGGTTCATATTATGCACACTTGTGTTTTTCATTCAGTAATGCCTCATGGAAATCCCTCAAAACCAACTGATACAGCTCTAATTCATTCTCTTAATGGTTATAAAAATCTCCTTTTGTGTGAATATACATAATTTATTGGATCATTCCCCTACTGATGGGCATTATTTCCAGGTTTGTCACTATAAACAAGGCTACAATAAATATTCTTGTAAACATGTCCTTTGTACCAGTAGTTTTATGTTTATGGGATAGATTCCCAGGAGTGAAATTGAAGGGTGGAAGAGTATGTGATATTTATTACATTTTAATAGACATTGTCAGATTGTTTCCAAAAGGCTGTGACAATTTACATTTCTATCAGCAGTGTAGGAGAGTACCCTCTTCACTGCATCCCCTAGTTTTTATTCCATTTGTAGTCCCTTGACGCTTTCAATTTAAAAACCTTTTGGTATATAATGGGAGTAAAGTGATATCTCATTGTTGCATAAATTTGTATTTCCCAACCATAATTAATTTAAAGAATTTTGCTATTTGGATTAGCTCTTTTCTGAATTGTCTCTTCACTATCCTTTGTGTATTTTCTCGTCTTTTTTTTTTGCCAATTTGTCAATATTCTTTTTGTCTTATAGATGTTACTCTTTGGTTTGTCATGTATATTATATTGTATCCCAAATCTATTATTTTTCTACTAATTTTATTTGTGGCACTTTTTTTTTTTTTTTTGGCCCACAAATGTATAAGGATGTTTACATAGTTAAATGTGTTTATCTTTTGCTTTTAATGTCCTTCTGGTTTCCAGTCTCAGTTTGACCTGCTCCGTTTCCGACCTGGGCCGGTTCACCCCTCCTTAGGCAACCTGGTGGTCCCCTGCTCCCGGGAGGTCACCATATTGATGCCGAACTTAGTGCGGACACCCGATCGGCATAGCGCACTACAGCCCAGAACTCCTGGGCTCAAGCGATCCTCCTGCCTGAGCCTCCCGAGTAGCTGGGACCACAGGCGCGCGCCACCGCGCCCGGCCCAGTCTCAATTTGAAAGGTGTTTGTCAACCTTAGGATTATAGGTCAGAGCAAAGAGGCCCCAGGGCCATTGGGTGAGAGGTACTTACCCCAAGACCCCCCAACCTGGATAATGGATAATGAAGTGAAAAAGTTTTGCTTATGATTAGGTAGACTCAGTTCTGACAGTGGCTAGTGAATCTGCGTCAGGCTAATGGACCATCCAGCGAGAAATAACCAGTGGGATGATATTACACCTGGGACCTGCACCATATCCAGGGAGGACAGCAAATGTCACTACAGAGTGACCTGGAGCCCCAGGTGAGAACTGAAGGGGAGGGGAAAAGACTGACAAGGAAGTGCTTTCCCTTTCCCCACAAACAGGGTAGGACTTGAGAGATAAGAAATCCAAGTGCAGATGAGGAAGTAAAAGCTCAGAGAGGGCTAAGATTGGCTCAAGGTCACACAGTTTGTTCAGTGGCAGAGTTGGGGAATTTAAGTCCCACCTTCTAACTCAAAGACCTGTGCTTTTCCCAGATTCCATTGACTCAACTCTTGGCAGAATTTTGGTCATAACCATACAGCGTCGTTGAAAGCTTACTGTGTGCCAGGCACTGTTCTGAGCACTTAGCATGTACTATCATATTTTGCCCTCAGAAGAGTCTAGGAGAGGGGAGCTAGTATTTTCTCGAGGGAAGAACTGAGGCATAGAGAAAACTAAATATTTCCTCCAAGGTTACATGGTTAAAAATTGGTAGGGCTTCAATTTAAACTCAGTCCACTAAGCTTATGCTACCCAGCCTTTTGACAGAACTTCCCTGCTTCTCTTCCTCTCTTTTGCTTTCTATCCTTTGTAAAATAGATTAGTATATATATTTATTCTGTTTGCTTGTCCGTTTTCCAGTGTCATTTTTAAGGTTGTTTCTCTGCAGCTACGGTGAGTTCAGTTGAGTAAAGTTCATTGGGGGATTGTCCTGTGCCAGGCCTCAGTTATTGATGGAATAATTGATCTCATGAAATGTATTTGCTGATGTTTTAGATGACAAAGACAAACCAAACAAAGAGGGTGAATTGGAGAGGAGACACCGTGGAGACACAGTTGGGCTTCTATCTCCACACGGGGTTTGCTGGGCTCCCCGAGGTTCTCCCAGACCCTCCTGGTTTATCCCAGATTATGCAGAGTCTATCAGGGTGCTGGTGGTTAGCTGTGCTGGTTCCTGCTCAAGAGTAAGGAGAAAAATCTAGAATACGAAATAGTGACAGCTGAGGTTTTCCCACTCTCCGTTGTCATGCTCGCTTTGCTGGAGGTGTTTGGGAAGTCTTTTCTTCTAGTAGACCCAACAAATATTTTTAAGCATCTACAGGGTGCAGAGCATGATGCCAGGCATTGCTGGAGACTCCACACACCTTTAGTCTGTGCCCAATATCCTTAGGGAGGCAGATACGTATCCACTTTGACATAAAATTGATAGTGTGACGAGACCTACTAGGGGTCAAATCCAAAAACACAGGGAATGTAGGAGAGAGGTGAGTTTTCAATGGGAGTTATGGGAAAGTCATTCTAGCATGATGTACTAATAAAAAACCAAACACTCCATTTGAACGGATTTGTGGGAGGTGTGGGGAGGAGACACAGGTGATGTTTTTATTCAGGAGTTCGGAGACCTGGGCTCTAGCCCCATGTCTAACATCCGTACCAGTTGTGTGACCTCACTCGCTCTGATTAAGCTTTGTCACCTGTAGTGTGAGGACATTAACAAGTACCTTAAAAAAAAAAAAAAAGTACCCACCATGTAGGTTTGTTGGGAGGATTTTAGCGCAGTATTTGGCACATCGGAGGCTCTTGGTAAATGCCTGAAATGACGTGTGTGTGCGTGTGTGCACGGGCACTCATGGGTATGTGTTGGGAGAGCATTCGCGGGTGGGCAGGTGGGGAAGGGCTGGAGGTGACTGTGGGTAGGGCAGGTCGTGATGACAAAATTGGGGGAGGAAGATGGAGTGAGAGATAAGACTAGAAAGCTACATAAGAATCAGAGTGGAAAATCTTAGATTTTACTCTGTTGGAAACGGAGCTAACCATGTTTTTGATCTGATGATTAGAAAGTGCCCTCAGGTCATGGAAGAAATGACCAGACTTTGCGGTTGTAGACTCAAATATTTACTTTGCGTCTATTTAGAGCAACAGATTCCACCCCTCCCTGAAGCTATACCCATACCCCACCCTTCTTTTTGTCTTAAAGGCTGTCCTGCCCCTGTGTTTGGAGACCTAGAGGACAAAGGTGATCTGAGCTTTCAAAAAAACCCCCAAATTATGTCTCATCCAGTCACATTCTCTAAACCATCCCCTTCCTGAGTTACTTCATATGGGCTCCAAAAAGTAATGGGGTTAGGGGGAGAAGCTTATAAGGTTAGCAGAAGATGTCAAACCACATGAGACCTGATTTACTTCCATGGAACCACCTTTTCTTCCCTGAAACAATAGCCTGCGAGATTGTAAATAAAGGCATAGGAGTTAATAAATCTGTCACAGAGGGGCCTTCCTGCTGCCGACCCATTCTCTAGAGAATGGAATCCTGAGGGCAGATTTAGGGACTGAAATCCAAATCTGGGGAACTGCCAAAGTGCCCTGCCTTGGCCTGCCAAGTTCAGTGGGAACTTCCGGGAACTTTCTTTGCAACAGTTAGAATCAGCTCCCTTGGTGCAATGAAATCCCAATGGATGACATTATTGAATATAGGGTTAGGGAGAAATAGACCAGGCCGGGGCATTTACTTAGCGCATGAAGCTTAATTGCCAATGGTAGACCCCTGGCTCCGGCAATCTTTTCTGATTAAAAAGCTGCTAGGAGCTCATCTGGCTCCCCCCTCCTTTATTACTGTTCTTTGGAGGAAAGTCTAAGAACTGAGCCTATCGTGGGAGTTAAGATTTTCAAGTCAATGATTAATGGCACGATTGCATGTGTTTTCTTTCTGAATTAACCCATGTGACCCATGGCATTTGCACCTCATGTTAACCATTAGACACAGAAATGAGTCCTGTATTTATTTGGGTGGTGGAATCCTAGGGCCTGTTGTTTCCCTTTGTAGTGAGAGGACGCTGTGATGGGCAGGCCTTTTTCCGGGGCATGGGGCTGGGGGGGGGGGCCTGCCTTCTGTCCCTCTGGAGGAAGGAGCTCTGTCGGCCTCTGTTTGCTCCAAGACTAAGGCTTGTCACAGTGGGACCTTTCAGTGTTTCATATAAAAGTCCCTTTGATGATGCATCGCAAACCAAATCTAGAACCAGCATAGACTGTTGTGCACTTCGAATGAATCAGGCCTCTTTCTTTTAAAAATGTCTGCTTTTCTGGGGCGCCTGGGTGGTTCAGTCGTTAAATGTCTGCCTTCAGCTTGGGTCATGATCCCGGGGTCCTGGGATCGAGCCCCGCATCGGGCTCCCTGCTCAGCTGGAAGCCTGCTTCTCCCTCTCCCACTCCCCCTGCTTGTGTTCCCTCTCTCGCTGTGTCTCTCTCTGTCAAATAAATAAATAAATAAAAGTCTGCTTTTCTTAAAGCCAATTTATAGTTTTTGCTCTTCGAAATCTTTCCGTACTTAATAGGAAAAGAGGCGGTCTGTAGAGGTACCCTTGCCAAGTGATTAGTTTCAGGTAAAGTCAGCTTAAATTTGAGCAAGAAAATGAAAAGTCTGATTTTCAGTTTCTGTGGGGCCCCTCCTCCTGCCAGGAACCATGTTGAGCCCAGTCCTCCCCCCCCCCAGTTGCTTTCATTGCATTGCCCAACGTTGTGTGTGTGTGTGTGTGTGTGTGTGTGTGTGTGTGTGTGTGTGCGCGCGCGCATGTGTGTGGTTTTGGGGTTTTGTTTTGTTTGTTTGTTTTTAAGATTTTATTTATTTACCTGACAGAGAGAGATAGCGAGAGAGGGAACACAAGCAGGGGGAGTGGGAGAGGGAGAAGCAGGCTTCCCGCCGAGCAGGGAACCCGATGTGGGGCTCGATCCCAGGACCCTGGGATCATGACCTGAGCCAAAGGCAGACGCTTCATGACTGAGCCACCCAGGTGCCCCTTTGGTTTTTTGTTTTTTAAGGGCTTGTGATACCATGGGGAGGTAGGGAGGAGGGATGGGAGCTGTTTAGTTCATAGTTTTCTGGCTTTGGAAAGGATCACCTTCACATTATTTGTTCCTTTAATAAGAATTGTGTGGGTATATGGTGGGGGAGAGAGAGAGAGAATGTTGGAGGGGGTAGGATTTAGTTTAAGGACTTTGTTTTTTTTAATTCAATTTGTTTTAAGTGTTGATGTTAAATTAATTTATTTTTTAAAGACTTGTTTATTTATTTATGAGGGAGCATGAGAGAGAGAGAGAGAGAGAGAGAGAGAGAATGAGCAGGGGGAGGGGCAGAGGCGGAGGGAGAGGGGGAGAGAGAGAATCCCAAGCCGACTCCCTGTTGAGCATGGAACCCCACATGGGGCTCCTCAATCTCATGACCCTGAGATCACGACCTGAGCTGAAGTCAAGAGCAGGATGCCCAACCGACTGAGCCACCCAGGCACCCCTGATACTTAATTTCTTTTGAGATTTAAATAACATTAAATGAGGATGTGGCTTTTTTATGTTTACTGAAAGAAGTCATGAATGAATGAATGAATGAATGAATGAATACTGGAGTCTATTTGACATGTAACATTGTGTAAATTTTAGGTGTATAACATGCTGATTTGATACATTTCTGTCTTGTAATATGATTGCCATTGTAGCCATAGTTAACACCTCTATCACTTCACATAATTACCATCTCTTTTTTTGTGGTGGGAGTAATTAAGATCTAATCGCTCAGCCGGTTGTATGATCATAATACAATATTGTCTAGATTCACCATCCTGTGCACTGGGTCTCCAGGACGGATTTATCTACTAGCTGTAAGTGTGTACCCTAAATAACAAGGTACATGCAGCCACGAAAGCATGAATTTAAAAGGCAGGGGAATGTAAGTATAAAATCTCCTAATATATACTCTGATCTCACCTAAATGGCTCTCCTCTCTCTTTCTTCTCTAAAGGGAAATGCACTCACTTCTTAGAGCCCAGCTCACTGGGCACTCCCTCTCAGAAGTCTGCCCTGACCATCCCAGCCAGGAATCTTTGCTCTTCTAAAAATCCCCCTGCGCTCTGTTCGAAGCGTCTCTTAAACAGTGTTTTCGATTGCTGTTACATCTCTGAAGTCTTTTTATTTGTGCCGTGCCTGACACGGGTTTTGTACACAGGTGAGTATGCACCCGAAGGTATATATTCAAAAAAAATATTTACGGTGTAAACAAAAGGATGATCTGGAAATTCTGAGAAAAAGGGAAGAAAGGGATCCTGTAGTTAGACGAATAAGGACATAAATCTTAGAAGACATTTCAGGTGCCTGCCTGCCACAGAGGCCCACCCTGACGCCACAGCAAAGCTGGGAATGCGCTTACCCGGGAGGAGGAAGTGAGAGGAACAATCAGCGTGGTCCCCAGGTAGCAGGGGCTGGGAGGGCGGCGGGCTTCCTCTGCCCCTGGGGCTCTGAGTGGCCAGTCCTTTCACTGTTCTTGCTCGATTTATTTGGGGGATCCTCTAAGCCAGATTTCCTTTTTATGGATCCTGACTGAAGTTTTAATTTATCTGCACTTTCTTCTGAAAACCTACCTTGGAAGAAGCTTCTGGACCCTCTTGTGGGCTGTGTCCTGCTGCTCCCTGAATATTTCCTTTGTCCTTCAGCTCAGACCTCTGTAGCTGGGGGCGGGGGCAAAGGGGGCACTTTCTGTGTCCATTTTCTATCTATCGCAGGAATGCCAGATTCCTATTTCCAGTTGCCTATTTCGTATTTCCAGTGGATGTCTGGTAGGCATCTTTGGCTTGATGTGTCCAAAACCAAACTCTTGACCTTGTGCAGAGCACCCCTGCTTGTCTCCTAGCTGTCCCGTTTTGACAGACATCAGATCCAGTCCTCAGTTGTTCAGACTGGTTATCTCGCACTTCTGTGGATGCTTCTTTTGCTCTCCAACGCCACATCCCGTGCATCGGCGGTACCGCCAGGACATATTCTTAACTCACCCAGTCACCTCTCGCCACCCCTCCCCTGGCTTCAAGCCACCGCCATCTTTTGCTTGGCTCCTTGCAAAAGCTTTACGTGCTTCTGTCCTTGTCCCGCCTTCACGACGTCTTCTCAGCAGGCAGAACAACGGCCAAATCCCATCGTTCCCTGCTCAGCCTCTTCCAGGGGTTTCCCGAATCTCTCAGGATGAGATGAGAAGCTCCTCCTCTTGCCCTTTAAAATCGGACGTGATCTCCGCCCCCCCTTCCTACTTATATCCCCTGGTCGTTCTCACCTCCACACAGACCTTGCTGTTTCTGAAACGTGCCATGCGCCTGCTTCGGGTCCCCCTTTGTACTCAGAATGTGCTTCCTCCAGCTGTTCAAATCATGTCATCAGAGGGGACATCCCTGTGCACTGTCTCCCGAACAGCAGACCTCTCTCATTACTGCCACCAACTATCTTATTGGGAAATCTTGGATGTGTAGCTAGGTCTAAAAACTGAAAGGATTCTGGCCTTGTGTTCAGATGGTGGACTCAACATACTTAGTTAGCTTTCTCCCCAAACCCAACTGAAATTACAGAAAAGACTTAAAAAAAAAACAAACAAACCCACAAGACCCCCAAGGACAGTAACAGGTGAGGAGAGAGCAGCGACACAACTTTGGGTGTTGGACAACAGATGGACACACAATAACTGACTTAGCAGATTGGAAAAAGCCATAGCCCAAAATGGCAGTGAAGAAAGTGAGGAAACCAACCTGTACGAAGGGCGTAGCTACTTCTAGAACTGTGCACGAAGGGGGAGCTCATGTAGGAAGTAGGGTGAACCTACCTGAGAAGTTACTGGACCTCTAGATCACCTTCCCCAGTCCATGCCTCTGAGCATTACACATACCTGAAAGATGTTTGGAAGTTTATTTTCTGGAAAAACAAAATAAACTGTTGAGAGATACCAGGTGGATGGGAAAACATGGACAGAATAGGGGGATTAAGTGATTGTATGCAGTATGCAGACTGAATACTGATGGTACAGATTCCTCCCCCCCCACCCCCGAAAAAAAATTGGCAGAAGATACTTTAAGTAAGGCCCGAGTCATAAAGGGAGAATGAGCAAAAATTAGACCTCAGTGACGGAATCTCTGTAACCAGCAGGGTCTTGGGCCTTGACAGAGTGGTAGTCATAATGTTTAACAACCAGCAAGGGCACCAGACAATCCGAAAGAGGCCAGACATAAACAATTGGTGAGACTGAATGGTATGGTTGTCTGGGCTGTGCACTGCACAGCTGTAGGCAGTAGTCTGGCCGTATCAGGGCAACCGAGCTGAATGTGTGTTCTAGTCTTGGGTGTTCTGTCCTCACTTTTGATTTGACTTGAATGCCTTACAGGTAGAGCCGAGGATATCTCCAGAATGATGTCTTCTGTAATCTTGTTATTCTAAGATTGGGAACACATTCCACAGCAAGATCATCCTGCTGGTCCCAATTTTTCCCCCTGACATTTCATATTAGTCAATTGATTTTGGACTCATAATTGTTAATGAAATAAACACAAGAAGCAACTCCTGCTGGGAAAAGAAAGATAAATACTCCAAGCTTGTCCCCCAAATCAGGGTAGTTGAAAAGCGATGTTAATTGAAAACAGTTTAACTCGGCAAAACTCACAAAGTTCTTTCCAATGTGTTTGCTAAATTAATCATTTTAACATTATCTTGCATTCTTAAGACAAGATCGTTTGCAAACAGGTGACCTGACTTGCAACTTTCCATTGTTTTTCAGGATGAGGGAGCAAGAGGAGAGACAGGAGGATCTAGAATTCTGGGATAAGAAGGCACCTCTCTCTTCCCTTTCTGATTAGCTGAGTCCTTACTCTGAACAGCTCTTCTGATTTTAATGAGCTCCAGGTTTGTCTGAGAAAATACCAGGGCTAATTTCTTTAGTCCGCGTCTGAATTTAGGCAAAGGTTTAAAGAAGTTGCAGTTACTAACCCACTGCCTGCTAAAGAGTTGAAGCCTTCTGGAAGCTTGCGTTTCAACTAAGTTTTCTTAATGTATCGTGGATGAATGATCCAGAAAGTTAATGTGCTCCTTTTTATAAAGAGTCAGGTTGTAAATCATTCACTAGTTCCCTAACTGGTCTCCTTGTAGGGAGAGAAGGAAATGCTTCAGGGCCTGCTAGCCCCTCCCTTTGTCCCAGGCTTTCCTGGATACCCCCTGGATGCCCAGAAAAGTTGTTCTCTCTGGGGTCTGGCTGCAGATTGGCGCTCCGGGTGCGTGCCTTTGGGCAGGGTTCAAACCAGATTTGGGGCTGCTACCTGTTATTTTTTGAGGTGGAGCCATGGGTGCGGCTGCAAACAAAAATAATTTCATCCTGATGAACCAGATGGTCAGGGCTGGTGTCATCAGGGCGGAGCCCTGCTCCCTGTTACCCAAGCTCAAGGTAAGAGCCTGGAGTCACACTCTTTATCTATGGCTCCTGACCCCGGGGTCAGGGTGCCAGTAAACCTGGCTGTTTCAGACACACCTCGTGATGCATCTGGACACTGGACTGTGGAACGTGGTTATGAAAAAAACAGATGTTGATCATCATCTGGCAGGGATGGAAGCCGATTTTCTTTCTTGGAAAAATCCGGAAGGGCTGTGTCTTCATTTCTTAGTGAATTAAAAAGGACTTCCCTGAGACAAATGACCATTTGAATATTCATGTGAGCTTGGGCAAGCCAATATTCTTAACTCTAGTTCCCATGAACCTCTGGCCCGAGCTCTGATTTTCTGTCCAGAGCCAGCTCCCACCCTTCCCCCACCAGTGCTGTCCTGTGACCTTGGGCACTTGGCCGAGGCCACTGCTGGGCATCCAGCAGGTGTTTGAGGCCTGTCTGCCGGTCTGCAAGTCCCTGTCACTTGTCCAGACCCCTGCTCTTGGCTTTCTTGAGGGGAGTTCTCACCTGGCCTGGCATGTGTAACCCTCACGAAAAGAGTGACAGAGCAACCCTTGTTCGCTCCCTATAACCCAGCCTTCGGATTCAAATTCAGTTTTAAACAGAGTTAGAAGACCATAAACAAAGGGCCTGTATGTCTCTGCCAAACATCAGCCTGGGGTGAGCTTTCCAAGGATCAGTCCTCAAGGGAAGCTTTCTCAGAAAAGGTTGATCTAGTAGGGACACTCCAGAAACCTGGCTATGAGTTCGGTTTGATGCGTATAAACCTTCTACAGCAAGGGCCTTACATGCACTCTTGGCCTTCGCGCTATCTTCTTGGAAACCTCCACACCATGAGAGAAAGAAGCGAATGTGCAAGCTGCAGCATAACAAAGATGAGGCAGAGGTCCAAGTAAACCACTGGCTTGTGCACCCATGGAGGCCACAGGGGCAGAAATAAGGAAAGTCAGCGGCCAGGGATGCTGGTTCCAACTGTTGGACAGCATGCCTACTTTCTAGAGCTTGCTTCCATGGATTTAGAACATCCATCACCACCTGATCGCAAGGTCCACCTTTGGGAGACCCGCCTTGCTCATACCGAAGCAGTCTTTCTTGGTCTTTTGCCCTGGACCTGTTGTGGACTTTCAGGACTGATTCTGTTTTCATCTGTGGCTCAATGTAACCTGTATACAGTAAATCATCTCTTCTGTCTTAGCTGAAGAAAAAAAAGGAGGTCCTTAGACTGGGATAGATCTTGCTGCTCCACTTCCCAGCTGCATGATCTTGGAAAAATTACTTTTCTAAGTTTCAAGCTCCTTATTTGTAAAATGGCAATGTTAATGCCTACCCTGTAAGGTTGGATCGTTGGAAGGATTCAATGAGATAATCTGTCAAGGGCGGGTGAAGAGACAGCATCTAAGACGTGGGAAAGCACTGTACTATTTCACATGCGTCGTCTATGGACGAGGCATTGGGCATAAAGAGAAAAGACACGGCCCTCCCCGTCCACACTTCACGGAGCTGGGGGAAGTTGGACCCATGAACAGGTCATTTCAGTAGGGTGCGGGAGCAGCTCAGCAGAGGCCAGCTGAGAACCTGGTACTACCTGAAT